TCAGCAGTAACTCAGTGGAATTACCCAGGGAAATGGAGCTGGAAAATTAAGAGACCACATTTTCCAAATCTTTCACTAAGACATGACTATGAGAATACAGATGTGGTTTCACAGACTCCATTGCACACTCTCCAGCAGATTAAAGATGAAAAAATTCAATCTCCAGTTTAAAGCTGACCCACACACAGCAAATTGACTTTCACAAACTCAGCCCTCAACAGCTGGGTTAATAAGACAAACTTCCCTCTGTAACTTCTGGAATTGAGGCCATTTAAAAGAAAATATTATTAACTAACACAATAAATACTCTTGCAGTCTGACTACCTTTCATGTACCATTTCAATTTACTCCTACCACAAATTGATCAATACTTATTGAAAAAAATGCATAATAAATTGCTTTGCTAATCAAAGCAACTGGAGACACGGATTTGCATAGTAAGCAAGGATTATGCAAAGCAACGTGAGGTTCCTAAAACCTTTATCCACATGACTCAGAAAAACACAGAATCTGAGCAGGGTAATTACCACAGTGCTGGATTAATGCTGCTCCCTTTCTTTGTACCAGTATTTCAAGGGTTTCTGTGACTGACTCAGCTACATTCCAGTTTGAACTCTTCCTGGCCTAATCCCACATCACCTTACTTCAGAGGAAGGAGGAATTTAGTCACTGACTCCCTATTTCACAACCACACACTAAATCTGTCACCCTCATAAAATACAACAAAACATACTTATTATTTTTTACAGATTTCTTTTTCAATAATCAGCCACACAGAAGACTTTTATTATGCTACAAAAGCCACTGATCCACAGCTTATTCCAGTAATGTCGTTAAGCAAACATATGTGGGCAGAAAAGCAGAACCCAATAAAAGCTATTAGTCCCTGAGTGAGGCTCAGTGTTTTATCAGTGCAGGCTCTCTAGCGTGACACTGCATGCCTGGAACTGCTGCCATTCCAATTAATTACAGTCACACAAACCAAATGCTGCCAATTGTGCCAGCAGAACTTTAAACCCTCTAGGAGAAAAATTATTAAATACTTCTGGGAGAAACATATAACAAATCCCTTTTGTTACTGCTACCCGTGACAACTTGAGGGCTAAGCTAAGAGAATCCAGTGATCAGATCATCAGTCTGTGAACCTAACAAGGCTTCAAGTTCACACTCTTGTGCACATCAGTAAGTTAGTGCAGGGCACTGAGAGGGGACCTGCAGAGCAGTTCTGTAGATGCATTGGTGCTGGCAACTTGACACCCACACCTGCAGTAAATGCAAACACAGTAAATGCATTCCAGAGTCACTGAAGTCCTGCTCTGAAGACACTGTCCATTAGCAGTTAGAGAACACCAGGCTTGCACCTGCAGTGCACCTCTGAGTTTAGTTTCACTCCAGAAAGAGAAATTCTGAGAGTGAAACTAAACACATTCTGAGACAGACCACTGCAAACCAATGCACATCCCTAAACCAAAGCACTGATGTAAATGCTCTCCATGTGTTCTGGCTTAGGGCAATGCTCCCAAGCCATGAGCAAACACCACACTCACCTCATAGTTCCTGGCATTGGTGTTGGCTGCCTTCTCCAGCTCGATGCGAGCTCGTTTGTGGCTCAGCTCCATCTGCATCTTCTCCCGTTCCACCTGCAGCAGCTGGGATTTGGAGTGGATCTGCCCAGCCTGCTCCTCCAGCTGGCCAGGTCACGTGTGAAAAGGGACATTGCACACCATTAACAGCACAACAGTATCAGCATGCCCTGTACTGCTCAGCTGATATTCATTTGCCATTTTACAAACTATCACCACATTGTGGTACCTCTCACACCAGCTGTACATGAGGAAACTCAGAGTTCAACACCATACTCAGAAACCCACAGCAAACAAAGGTGAATTGGAAATAAAGTAATTCCTGGTTCTTAAGTCAGAATTTCTCAATCTGTAGATGTAGCCTTACAAAATCTACTTCTCTATCTAAAAAGATAATTATGAACTCCCCAAGCCTAAGAAGCACAAATTATGCTCCCAATAAAAGTAACTGCTGAGCAAAATAACACATTTTTGCCTGAACTCTACAACATTACCCTTTATTTATTCATTCAAATTACCTGAGAGCACAGACAATACTAACAGAACTGCTCACATCCTGGTGATGTACATCCAACACACAGCCAGTGGAGACTAACCAGAGAGAGCCTCCTGCAACTACTGCTGCCACCAGAGATGTAGCACAGACAGAAAAAGCTTAAATTTTTGTCAACATTCCAAATGCAAAGCAGATTCACATTAAAAAGAAGCAAACTTACTTTTTACTTGGAGGCTGAAATAGAAATTTTATTAAGATACAGAATAGAGAAATTTTATTCCAGCCTAATAGAGTCCCTGGGATCTAAGATGTAAATTTGCTTTATGAGCCTAAATCAGCTAAGACAAAAAAAAAAGGCAAATAACCCAGGTGGATAAGAAAGCACAGCTGGTTTGCATATCAAAGCCACAGCTCAATGCATGTCTTCTGGATGTGACCAGGCTAAGAAGCCTTTAAATCCTGAAAAAAGGTAACAAAGTGTCTTACTAGAAAAATGTTAAGATATAAAGTTCCTTTGTTCAGCAATATGAAAACAACTCACAATTTTATTTCCTGAGCTGGTACACAGATATAACCAGCAGGGAATAAATTCAAAGGACCTTTCTTAAACTTTTACAAAACAGAAATAAGCCTGTCTGACACTGTAAAAAAATTTAAATATATTCTGGAAGAAATTCCAGAATGGTGAGAGAAAGCTTCCTTTGTTTGTTTGCGTCAATTTCTGAACGTCAATTTCCAAATGCCAATTTCAGATGTGAATGAAATTCCCAGCTCCTGGAATCAAAAGGAGCACACAACCACACAGAAGTGATACTGCAGGAATCACCAAGATGAGGACTCCTCACCTGCATCCTCTGCTGGTACTGCATCTGTAAGGAGCTCTGAGTTGATCCTGGTGTAGCCATTCCAGACACTCCCTCCATACGCTGGGAAATGAAGTTGTTGAGGGATCTCAGCGTGGAGAAGACAGTGGTATTATTTTCCAAGTCCTCCATGGCTCTGGAAATGGACAGAAAATCATCAGCAAAACACTCAGAGCAAGATGCTTTGCTGAAGAGGGATCCATCACTGCCCTGAGGAAACACTAAACACGAGGTCTTCCAATTTACAGGGTAAAAATCAACCTACAAATCACTGCTGGGATCCACAGGAAACATGACCCCACCCAGGCTGAAGTTGTAATTTTCTCTGAAATGAGAAAAAGATGCAAGACAGCCTCTTCTTCTCCGACCAAACCAAACTCATTGTTCTTCCCCTCAATTTTTGAAGCTGATGGGAGCAGAACTAGCTTCACGGTAGCAGCAAACCCTTCCTGCTACACAACTTGTTTCTGGTTTTCCAGAGGCACTTTGGACTCTAATTTCCAACAAGAAGTCTTCCCAAGTCCATTGATCACTTGTATAAGTGAAACTGCATCTCATCATTCATATAATGAAATGTAGCTCTTCCTTCCAATTCAGAAGGGGACTAACTAGGTGAATCAAGGGTGGAGCTCAGAAAAGCCTGCACATCATTCATATAATGAAATGTAGCTCTTCCTTCCAATTCAGAAGGGGACTAACTAGGTGAATCAAGGGTGGAGCTCAGAAAAGCCTGCAAGGTTCCCCAGGAGATGTCAGGAAACCTTACGTGAGTCCCTCCAGTGACTGCACACTCCACAAATCCCCAGAAACACCTGAAAAAGTCCCGGACCAGGAAAAGCAGCCACATGCACATGGCTTGTGGCACCCACAGAGCCCTGGGGCTGCACCCCGGGGTCACTCCGCAGCCACTGTTTGCATTCACAGCATCACGAGCAGGCGGCGTAAGAGCGGCGCAGAAGCAACAGATCTGCCAAAAGCCAAACTGAGCGCTGGATACCAGACGCACCTGCCGGCAGCAAACCGGTTCTCAAACCTACCGACAATTAAGCGACACTTCGGTGTGGGACCCGGTCCGGTTCAGGAACCCCCGTGGCCAAGGCTGCCCCAGGGCACCCAGAGCGGCCGCGGCGGGCACGGGGCAGCTCCGGGCACCGAGGGGTTCGCCCGCACGACTCTGCCAGAGGAAGAGCGGGGTGGGACGGGCGCGGCCGGAGCCCTCCTTCCCTCCCCTCGCCCTCCTTCTCTCCCTTTTCCCCCCGTCCCTCCCTCAGCGCTCACCGCCGCGCGCCCCGCTTGGATCTCCCTCCTCGCCCCGGCCACGGGATCTCGCGGGAACTCCGCGCCCGCCTCTCGCGAGAACGGCGGCGCCGGTAGCCGTAAGTGCGGCACTATGAGCGCAGCACTGCCCGCGCTACCGTAATGTCCGACAGGCTGGGCTGGGCTGAGCTCCGAGCCCGCCCCGCGCCCTCCGAGCACCGACCCACTCAGCTGCCCCAAATGAGCTGCTGATGATGATGATGAGAAAGGCCTGGGAGTCTTAAAACAGCTTCTCGTATAACTCATGCCACAGTCAGCCTGATAAAAGCAGTATTTAATATGAAATTTGTCACTTTCAGATAAGGCAGCAGCTGAATTTATTTGTGCGAACAGATTTCCGGCAATTCAGTCATTCTCCCTGCTGAGATCTTAGGAACATCTTGTCTTGTTGCCTGAGAAACACCACTGGCCACACCTAAAAAGCACTGGGGAGATGATCTATGTGGCCATGACCCTGTCCCACTGCCCCTGAGTGGATTTATGAGTGCCAGGAAGCAGCAACTCCTAAATATAACCTGAGTCTGCAGGAGAGTCAGCAGAGCCATGGGGCTGAACATTCCCAAGGCAGCCGTGCCTCTCTGTGTTACACACCCTGCATGAGGATGCAGATCCTGATGTGCACAGAAACATTTTCTAAAAGGCACTGAATTGGCTCAAACTCCCCTTTGCTGTTCCCTCACGTTCCAACAATCACCTTTATGGTCCGTCTCATTCATGACATTATGAACCCATTAAAAACTCATATAATCAACATTTTATTTTCATTTCCATTACTCCAGCCCCAGAGGTTGCCTTTCAGATTATTCCTCTCCATTCCTAACTATTTTGTCCACAGTATTTGAAAAGCCTGACGGACTTAAAGAGTAGCAAACTTCCCCAAAGTCTTAATGGTGGGCTTTTCCTTGAAACACCCACTAAACGGAGATTTCCAACCAATGTCACAGAATGTGCAGCTCATGACTTTGATTTCCCTCTGTACAGCCTGGCCAAGTAATAAGATTCTGCAGAGTCCTTCCTGCTGGCCTGAGGCTTTATAGTCCTCACATCCTGGAACTGCTCCTTCAGCTTATTTTGCAGCAGGCAGGCCTCGGATCCATCCCAGAATTTACAGAGCATCGTTCCTTTTGGCTTTAAAATGCTTTGGGCTATATCCAGGAGGCCTAAACAGAGCCTGATCAGCTTCTGATGATCCAGCTCTTTAATGCCCGTGGCGTTGGGGGCCATGTCACTCAGGATGACATCTGCCTTCCCCAGGGGAAGCAGGCTCTGGATGGCCCTCAGCGTGCTGGGCTCTGCCATGTCAGCCTCTGACAGGAAAACTGCTCCTTCCAGGGGAGAAATCCGCAGCAGGTCAACGCCAAGCACGAAGCCAGTGGGGACAGCAGCATCTGTAAGGATGAATGACACAGGGAACACTCAGGGTGGCTGCAAAAAGCTGCACATGCACGAGTTCTGTGCCAGCAGGCACAACCCACCCCCTGCCACAGCTGCCTTCTTGTCCCCTGGCAGTTTGCTGGTGCATCTGGATGGAGGGTTTGCCATAAGCTCATCTGTTCAAGACATAAAAACTCAGCTACTTTGGATAAACAAGGAGGATTTTTCTGGTTTTCTGCTGCTCTTACAAGACTGACAGTCCAGAAATCCTGGATAATGGTGCAGATGGTAACACCTCACTTTGTAAATATCACTTGCTTCACCCATGTAAACAATGCAAAGCAGTTGCTTCCATTTTTCGAGAAGGGAAACAATATTTCAAATAAGCCAAGGTAGTTGCTAAAGGTTACATCAATTTCAGAACTGGATGAAGGATCTTCCCTTCAACAGCTAATCAGATCACTAGCGCCACATGGTATGTTTTATTTCATAAACACAATTTCTCTACAATTACTAGGCTCACCCCTTCGTGTTTTTATCAGTGACTGGCACTTGCCAGTACCCATGTCCTCTCCCCTACTGCTACCATCATAATATTTCCTTGATTTCACAGTATTTTGATTTAGATTCCATAGTATTTCAGAGACCTCTCACACACTTCAAGAGGAGAACCATCCCCATCTTGCCTGCCAAAAAATTGCACTTACCAGTACCTAAGGCATTGACCCTCTCTACAGCAACCTGGCTCCAAGCACCAGGTGCTGCTCCACAGTCAAGAACAGAAAATCCTGGACGAAGAACACAGAGCTTGTCATCAATTTCCAGCAACTTGAAGGCACTTCGGCACCGGTACCGCTGGTGCTTCGATGCCTTGACAAAGGGATCCTTCAAGTGCCGCTCCAACCACCTCTGCTCAGTTCCAGTTTTCCTCAGAAACTTCACCGTGGTGTGCAGGTATCTGCTCATTCAAAGCCAGGAAGAGAGGCAAGTCAACCAGTTAGTACATAACCACCCACTCTGTATTTTAAAAGTCTTTACATTAATTAATTCCAGCCACTACAGGCAGCCAGGAAGGTGTGGAGTGTCCCTGTCAGGAGACATTCTCAATACAGCTGGACATGTTCCTGTGTCACCTGCTCCATTGGGCTAGATGGTCTCCAGAGGTCCCTTCCAACCCAAACCATTCTGTGATTCTAAAGGAAGTCCCCAAATTTGAGATTTCTGGAATCTTTACTGTTCCAATCACAACAGCAGGGTCAGACTTTGGATGAGGCCTCACATGCTATCCTGACCTAAGGGGGGAAAGCGATCCTACTCCCGCTTCTGCTCAGGTGTTTTAAGGACACGACACGGCAGAGTGTCCCCAGCACTCCTGAGCTGCCTCAGCGGGGCCGGTGGCCTCCGTGAGCCCCTCAGAGGAACGGAGGGATGTCAGAGCTCCTGCAAGCCCGGCAGAGCAACCAAGAGCCACGGCCCGCGCAGAACCCAAACCCCATTTACCCATTCCTGAGGGGAACATCCAGGCACCGGCTCTAGGACACCCCACCATTCCCCTCGTGGGAGCCGGGATCGCCTCAGCAGCCCCGCCACGCACCTGCCCCCGGCAATGACGGCTCCGCCCGGGCCCGCCATGGCCGCCTCGGCCCGCCCTGTCCCGCCTCCCCTTACGGCGGCCGCGGGCGGGGCGGCGGCGGCGCGGGAAGAGCGGGGACGGGCCGCAGCCGAGGGTGACACTGAGGCGGGCGGGAAAGCCGCGAGTGCGGGGCTGAGGTGCGCGGGGCGGGGATGGGAGTGCAGGGGGGGGTCAGGGATTGCCATGGGGGATCAGCGATCTGGGCAAGGAGCGCTGGGAGTCAGAGATTCGGGGAGGGGATGTTGAGGGTGATACGGGATTCGGGGAGGGAGTTTAGGAGGAATAAAGATTTAAGGAGAGCGGATCGGAGATTTGGGGAGGGTTTTCTGGGGGCTCAGGGATTCGGGGAAGGGATGTTGAAGGTGGTCGGAGAATCTGGGGGGACAGGGATTTGCGGAGGGGATCGAAGATTTGGGGAAGGGATGCTGGGAGTCAGGGATGCTGGGAGAGGGTGTTAAAGATGGTCAGGATTTGGTGGGGCGGGTTTGGGGAAACAAGGATTTGGGATTGGGGGATCAAACTTTGAGATTTGGGATTGGGGGATCAAACTTTGGGAAGGGGGTGCTGAGGTAGCAGGAGAGCGAGGGTCGGTGGGAGCATTAGAGAGGGAGGTAGGTGATGGGAGAGGTGCTGGAGAACCAGGCTTTAGGGACCGGGCACTGGGGAGGGCTGCTGGGTCTGAGGGGCTCTGCACACCCCGGTTCCCCTCGGAAAGGAGCCAGGAACCCTCGGCACAGCGTGTCCGCCTCGTCCCTCAGCCAGGAGCCATGCACACCTCCAGACTCTTCACCCTCGTCCTGGTGGTGCAGCCGTCCCGCGTCCTGCTGGGCATGAAGAAGCGCGGGTTCGGCGCCGGGCTGTGGAACGGCTTCGGAGGGAAGGTGCAGCCCGGGGAGAGCATCGAGGAGGCTGCCCGCAGGTGAGGGCTGCCCGCAGGTGAGGGCCGGGCCGGTGCCACGGGGACAGGTATGGGGGCACAGGGGGAGGTGTTGGACCATCGGCTGTGGGCTGCAGGTGGAGGTACCACGGCTCATCAGGTCAGTGACACCCTCGTGTTACCCACCAATGCAGTCATGGACCCAGTTCTGAACACCTGCTCCACAGGTGATGAGGGATCATCTACATTTACAGAGAAACAGGATTGTTTCTCTGCACAGGAGAAACAATCATCACCTTTGTCACCTGCATATCTTAAACTTACCCAGTTTGTGAGCAGCTAGAACTTCCTGTGTCCTCCCTGGACTCTGATCTAAACTGAGAATGAGTCTGAGTGATGGACAGTTTCTTGCAATCTTCACAGAGGTGCAAGGTTTAATTTTGGCTATATAGCAGAATTACAGCTAATTGAATTTAAATAATTACCCAAACTGGTTATTATTTGATCATATGGTGTGACATTTTTAAGTGCTAATGCTGAGTTGTGGAATTGAATTTCATCAGTAAAAAGGCAGAGTGTAATTTCTGAACCCTTCAGTACTGATTTCTTGTAGTTCTTTCATCTATCTGGTCATTAAAATGAAGTAGCAAATCACAGCTAAATTTGCTAAATTTTTTGCTCTAAATTTGCTAAATTCCTCTAAAAATTAGGTACCTTGTTCTTTACATGAATGTTGCTGATACAAAGCCGTGCTTTGCCATCTCCTCAGTTTCTGATAACGTGCCCAAAGCTGCCCTTGCACCTGCAGGAAGATCAGTCATGGTGTGCTCAGCTGGTTCCCAGCAGCTTCTGCCCTCAACAGCCTCCCCAGCTGTGCCAGCACAACCACCAGGCTCTGTGGTGAGCTGGGCCCAGGGACAGCAGGGTCCCTGTGCAGATGTGCTCCCAGCAGCACGTGGCCCTAACGTACCTGACATTTCATTGTGGCTTTTCATGTGATTTATCATCTCTGAGTGGAGAGAGGGACATATGTTTTGTCACTTAACATTTGCTAGACTTACCTGCAACTGGCTATGAGGTAAATCTAATGGTTTAATGTAGCATTTGATTTCCTTGGTCTGTTTACCTGTGCTGGCCCCCACGTTTGACACCAAAACCTCTCTTCACACAAGATGTCAAGTGCTAAAATTTTCCTCAATCCAAATGCAACGTGCCAGAGCACAGCCAGCACCTGCTGCTGGGGACTGTCCCCACCCCTTCAGCTGCAGTTTCCTCCAGAATGACACAGCCAGTTCCTGCTGAGGTCAGCTGGGCGGGAGGCTGTCCCCAGGGCCAGGAGCAGCTGCACACACTGGCCACCTTGCTGAGTGGTGCAGCGCTGCCTCAGGGCACAGCTCTGCTGCAGGAAGCACCACACACTCCAAATCAAACTTCCCTTGTACCATTTCCACTGCAGTTGAGGTCTGAGGTTGTGGTTCCACGTTGCTCTGTCTCCATTGGGTTGGCAGAGGCAGCAGGTGGGAAGCCTCAGCACAAGTAGTTAAATATTAACCCAAAACATGAACGAAAGTTCCCAAAAGATTTCCATCTTCTGCTGTGTTCAGCACATTCCCATGAGCACATGGGCAGGTCCTCAGTGGCACATCTTGTAAGGGGAGCATTTAATGAATGAGTTATTTCTAGTTTGCCACCTGTAATGTTTCCACTTGCTACAGACAGAGCCAAGCAGCTGATGGATAAATTGCCTGGAGAATTGTAGCAATGTTGTGCTTTGTTGTTCAATTATCAGTGCCTGTAAAAGGAGGCTTTTAGAGTCATTGCTGGAAAACTGCCTCTATTTTAGACATAGATAGCTTCTCAGAAGATAAACTAAAATTAGCCAAGACATTAATTTGAAGTATTATTTTGAAAGATGGGATCCATGAAACCAATGCCAAAGAAAGCTGGAGCCTTAAAATTATTTCCATTACATTTTAAAATTGTTGTTCCTGCCAAATAGGCAACTACGTTAATTATTAACTATAACTAAAGATACACAGTTTCAGAATATTCCCTATTTTTGTACATTAGAAAAACAATGACTAACTTGAAGCCATGCTGCTTCTTTTAGAGTGAGGCAAAATAAAAAAAGCTCTGAGCACAGAGCATAAAGAGAGGAAATAATTGAATGTGCTTCAAGTAGCTGTGCATGGTGGTGTGTGGAAAAGAGCTGGCACAGCTCTCCAAGTGCTCTTAAAAGTCTTCCCTTCTGGCCTCTGGTTATGCTCAATGTGCTCCCAAGGAGCAGAAGGACAGAGTTTGCACAAGTGCTTTGTGATTTTTACACTGCACTTGAATGGGAACCAGAATTCTCAACCTCCTGTGTGCAAATGGTGTGATGGAATGTGTAATTTAACTAAGCTTGTTTGCTTTAGAAGTAGCTGATTGTGTAGCAGGTATAGATGTTCTTTCTGGTGTTCATGACCTGCTTCTCCACAATTCTAAAAGGCTCAGCTTGAAGTTGGCAAAGCTTTTTGCCTGTCTAAATGACGTGTATCTTGGAGTTCTGAAGCCACACCCAGCCACAGTCAGATGACTTCACATCCCCACTTCTCCCTTGCTCAGAGAAGAGCTCCATGTTGCATGGACTAAATTCTACTAAATGATCCATGTTCCTGAATCTTCCCCTTCCAACACAGAGTGTTCTCCTGCCAGGCTCAGGAGGCTGAAATAACACAATCTAAACTGGCTCCACTGTGGTGTTGTAGCTTTGTGGCTTGGTGCAGGTCAGAACCCTGCTCTGTTGTTCTATAAGAGCTTTCATTTTTGGTTCACTGGAAGGGTTTTACTTGTGTGAGTAAAGCTAATGACTGCATTTCTGTCCTCCCAATGCTCAGTTTCATGTAAGAAGTCTTTTTCTTGTGCAGGGAGCTCCTGGAGGAGAGTGGCCTGACTGTGGACACCTTGCAGAAGATGGGTCAGATCACATTTGAATTTGTGGGCAACTCTGAACTCATGGACGTTCACATTTTCCGTGCAGATCACTTCCATGGAGAGCCAACAGAAAGTGAGGGTAGGTGGCTGGTGTGGGGAAAGAAGGAGGTGCAAGCTCTTCTGAGGCAGCACTGCCCTTAGGAAATAGAGAACTATTCACTCTAAAATGCCTGCCAGAAGGAAGGCAGCTGGACTGGAGAGGGAAGCTGCTTGTTGACCAATATTCAGTGTAGGCAGCAAAAATCCATGAGCATGTCCCATGCAGAGTTCTTTTGTTTTGTGCCACCAGAAATGAGGCCCCAGTGGTTTCAGCTGGACGAGGTGCCCTTCCATCGCATGTGGCCTGATGACAGCTACTGGTTTCCCCTGGTGCTTCAGAGAAAGTTGTTTCGTGGCTATTTTAAGTTCCAAGGACAAGACACCATCCTGGAGCACAGCCTGAAAGAAGTGGAGGAAGTTTAAGAAAGCAGAAGCATTCAGCCCACATGCTACTGCCCACATTGGGCTACAGCATCCTGAGTGTGACTTATGAGGGTCTCATTCCTCAGCTCGCCGGAACACAAGACTTGTTTTCCAGGTCACTGCAAAGTAAGGGGGTTTCTTAGAGCAGAAATAGAAGTAACAAGATTTTCCATGTTGTCAAGTCCCTAGCTTTGGTGGTTACGTGATCACAGCTATTAAAAAATAAATTTTAACCCTTTTTAGTGGCTTAAGCTTTTCCCTTATGGGTAGATCTTTTTTATTATTATTATTAAAAATACTTTTTTAGTAAAAGCATGTGTTGTTCTATTATAAGGATGCTGTGAAAGCCTTTTGAAAAGTTCAAACCAGAGATTTCTTCAGGATCCTCCAGCTGAAGGCAGCGTGAGGTTATGGGAGTTAGAGGTAGATGTACAGTCCTGTCTCAACCCAGCTTTCACTGTTACTGTGAAAGTCAAACTATTTGAGCATTTCAGGTAAAAATATGCTGAATAAATTCAACTTCCAGCAAGTTCCTATTGCAAAGTGCCATCCCCTAGGGCTGCAGGCTTTGTCCCAGGGCAGGTGACTGCTCAGCACTGATGTCAGCCCAACCCAGCATGGTGGGCAGCACAAGTTTGATCCAATCATGCCAGAAATAACACATCACATATGTAACTTCTTACACAAGTTGGGGTTTTTTTTTTCCTTTTTTCAAACACTTTTACAGACATGTAACACTTACAGATAGAATCTTGGAATGTCATGTAGGATCTGTAAACATTTCCAATCTACCAGCTGTAGTAATAGTTCTTTAATTCCTGCATTTGAATAAAGTGCTTCATACATAAGGCTATTTGAGCAAAGCAAAGATACAGGATATTCCAGGCAGGCAAAATTCACACCCTCTGAACTATGTTTGCTTCTTGTCTCCTTCCAGCAGTTTTGAAAAATTTATACCACTCAAAACATCCTTCTTCATCTGCTCAGCAAGCCACAGCTCAGACTTAGGAGGACGAATTAACACCTTCAAACCTTACTTTTCCTTTTGTGCTGCACGTTTATTTACAGAGTAAATAGAGATACCCACCTCTGCTTCTGACCTGGCAGTGAGGGTTCCTGGCTGCTCTAACAGACAGAATGGCTTGGGGCAAACAGAATAAACACAAAAGGACAAGCAGCTTTGACAGAGTTGGACCTTACTGCATGGTAGGAAAGGGCATGACTGGCAGCCAATACCTGTTAAATACCTTGGTTTATTTCCTGATGGAAACTGTAAATTGCTGGGTGAGAGACAGCACGTTACAATCACACAGAATTACTTTCTGTTCCTCCAGGAGTTTGGGTAGGAAAAGAACAAGGATGGCTCAAGCTTGCACTTGTTATCCTGTCTGCAGTCAGGTGAGTCCTTTCAGGAAGGTGCTTTCCCTAACCCTGATTTTTAGCTCATGTCAAAGAGCTGGGATGTTACTGCTCCTGCTGCCATGAGACTGACACGGTTTAAGTTCTGTCCCAAGCTGGTGATCTTTGTGTTTCAATAAACAGCACAAACTGAAGAGTGTAAATTAGCCTGTTACAATTCCAGGAATTACACCCTTGCATGGTTAAAGGAGAGTTAAAAGCACTGGAAAGTAGCAAGGCACCATTGAACATGTTACAGCTTAGGAGGAGCAACTTGCCAGGAAGATGGAAGGAGAGGGAAAGGAGGATACAAGATTTAAGGTACTGTAAATAGTTTTGAGCCTTTCAACAGGATACTGACAAAAAGCCTGTGTATTCCCACTTCACAGCTGGAAGTGGAGAAGCCCTCAGGAGTGACAAAACTTAGAGCCCTTTTCAGAGAACAATTTTCAGGCAGCCTTTCAAGGTCTCAGGTGTTTGCTACCCTGGTAGCTCCAGCACTGCTCTGACAGACACTGCAGGCTTTTCTACCATCACTCCTTTGAGCACATCAAAGTCCCCTGACCTCAAGCACACACAGAAAAGCTTCCATTCACAAAAGCACATTAACACTTTGGCACTGCATCTTACAGGAGCATCAGACCTCAGATAGGCAGCACACACTCCTCAATTAGTCTGGCTTGGTTAGTGTTTACTGCATAAGGCAAAAGCATGGAGGTAATTACAACTGTTTTCCCCACATTGGCTAGGACAGACAGACAGCTTGATGGATCCCTGAGTCCCTGCTGCTTCCCTCTGGAGGAAGGAAGCTGTGCTTGATGCTGCCCTCAAAGTCTGACAGATCCATCAACTGAACAAAATGAAAACAGTAAGGAAATCCCTCACACATTGAGGTAAACAAACAGGGCTATTTGCACACTGACCAGTCACCCAGAAGAAAGGTTTGCAAACTAAGGATTGTATGAAATAGTGTCTGCATGCGTTTAGGAATGAAACAAGCTTGACAGTCCAGTATGAAATAAACTCTGAAAGTGCCAGCAGCTGGATCAGCTTTGGGAATACTGGGCCTCAGTTCTCAAATACCTGGTGAACAGAGTAAAACCAAAACAAGAAAAGCCCACCCCCAAAACTCTCCTCAAAGACACAAGGGCTGACAATGGAGAAAGGGGGTGTTTCTCAAAACAAGGTCATTTCAGTTTCCTTATAGGTCCTGTGGTGTGTCTATTATTGTTACAGTCTCTGCACTAGGACTGTACAATTTGTGCTTGAAGGCAAACAGGAAAGAGGAATTAGTCTAAAGCCCTAATGTCATTTTGATGTTTGCTTTTTGGGGGGTTGTTTTTTGATTTTAAATCAAGTTCAAAATTGTAATGTTTTTCTAAGAGTGAGAAGTGCGAAATTCCATTCAGGCTATTCCTTTGCAAGCACTCCTACAGAACACTGCCCAGTCAAACAAGTAACTTATGAGACCCATCATAAATTAACAGATCTTGCCCCAAAACATACAGTACTTTCTCAATTTCACTGTTCATCACATCAGGCAAACCAGTGAGGGAGGGTGGGTGCTGAGACTAAGCCAGCCATACCCAGCCAGCACCTTCTGATAATGTGAAGAGCATGGAAAAGTCTGGTAACACACTTTACACACTTGAACCACAAACCATTTTTCTAATCAAGACACGGTCAAGCAGAAAAACCTGTTGTACCATGCCCGAGATTGCATCTTCTCTGTAACTGGACTGTAGAAACATTTCCCTCCCCTGACAGTTTGCTCCAGCTTGTGAGCAGAATTTCTTCTGCATCACTTAGGAAATCTGCAGGAGAGAATCAAATCTGTCACAGCCATTTGCAGTTCATCTGTCTCACTGGACAAGGCCCATGTGCAGGAGGGAAGTGAGTTAACATTTGAATTGTTGGAAAAAGCTCTTTAATGCAATCTGTGCAAGGTTGGCTACACACTGCTTAAGGCCTAGCACTCAAGGAATTCACCCATAGCAGTGTATTTACTCCATTTTGAGGAGTGTGAGTAATGGTTATTCAGTCTCCTAAAACTGGGAGACTTATCTTGCTCCTAGCTGAAGAAACTAATCCAGAATTTCCATCTGGGCTAGGAAGAGTTTCATGTTGCACTGAAATTTCTAAATTAAAAAAAAAAAAAAATCAAATCAATAAGCTTTTGTGATTGGAGGATTTAAATATACTTCCTGGTAATGGGGAAGTTCCCCAGTGGGAAAATACTGTAATGATTCTGATTAACAGCACGCACTCATCCTTGTTAATGTGCTTCCTTTTTTACCCATTCGAGGAAAATGCTAAGAAGCCAAGTCACAAATTCCCCTTTGGGAGCTATTTTGGCCCCAGAGAAGTCAGGTTCAGGGAGTCCTGTTCACACAGAGCTTTGCTGCAGACGTTTGCAGTTTGATTATCAGTTTCTCTGGAGGATGTGCACATTTCCCCTGAGGTAACACAACATGCATGTTCTCCCCCTCTGCCTCCCAAGGCAAAGCCACTGGAGATGCAAAGTGGGGAGTGTTTAGTCCCTTTATCACAACCACAAACCATTCTGAAAACCCCATTACCAAGGGCTGTGGTCTTTTTAGAGATGAGAACTTCCACTTAATCATCTACTCTCCTTCACAAACAAACATACTGCAGTGCTACCCACAGCCAGGAAGAATGACAGTAACATCCTGATAATACTGAACTTTTGCTAATGAACTTTATCAGCACTGTGTTCCAGCCTGCTGGTGCAGTAGGATACTTCTGATATTACACCAAGGAAAACACCAGCCTTTGGGTCAGCAGCTCTCCAACAGATCTGAGCAGCTACTCACCAGATGGAGGTCAGAACCTCCAGAAAAAGTAAACAAGCTACCTTGTAGCTGTTCCACTCCTGTAGTACAAGGGATTTACAATTAAGGAATGTTTTAGTCAATTATTTTCTCATTTATGCCAGGCAAACTCCTCTGAGTTCCCAAACCCAGCTGTCTTTGGCCCCAAACTGAAAAATATGAGCAAGTCCCCAGAGCGCCCTTCAACCATGAAGGGAAACAAACTGACAATAGTCCATCCAGCACCATCAGGAAAATCCCTGTCACAGAGCAGCACTGACCCCTGCCCAGCTGGGTTACAAAATCCAACCACTTCATTCATTTTGTGCTAAGGTCTAGCAGTAAGAAATCAAATCCAGACACCTACAACAGGATGGGGGATGGCTTTCAGCTTTCCTCATGCACACACGTCCCTAACACAGGCCCTCCAAGGCATAAAAAGCAATTTATCTCCACTACAAGCAAGTGCTTCAGCTATCCTGTTCATCTCAGCACTTGAGAGACGTGCAGAGATGTGTCAGCACAGCTGCAGATAAACACCACTGGAGGACTGTTAGTACAAGATGCAGAGGCCCCAGCAACAACAAACCCTGCAGCACTCGCTGTGCCAGGCCCTGTCCCGACCCACGAGGAGTGTCTGCAGGAGAATGAACATCAGCTCTGCCCCAGGGCATTGCAAAATTACAAAATTGTCTCCATATCCATTATGTTCTGCCCCACATCCAGTCTGTCTAAATCAGAGAGCAGCTCAAAGCAGCAATATTAAAAAAAAAATAAAAATAAAAATAGCTGTTTTGGAGGATTCATTGGAGGTAGAGGTCCCACCCCTTCGTTGATTGCCCTTCTTGCTCCGTGTGGGATGCTTGGAACGTTAATTGGAAAAGAAGTTTCCCTCTGGAGGTGAGAGTGGTGGAGTTGGCATACTGCTGGATCCCACAAAAAGGCAGCTCAACTTCGGCTTCAATTCATTCCAAACTTTACTCATCTGTGAGTGGAGAAGGAGAGAGAGCAGACATGACCACACAGCAGGTAACAATCTCCCCACATGGAAATTTAGCAGCAGTCTCAGACATACAGAGACAACAAATTTGCTGAAGTATTTTCAGGAAGTTCACTACACCCAGAATGTTCCTGTCAGACCAGTGCAGCTCCATGAACATTCTCCTGAGCCTGTATGGAAGGGAGATTTCCCTTCATCAAATTCCTTCACTGAAAGGATGGAAGGGAGCTGAAGGAGAAAAGATTTTTCTAATATAACCAAAGCAAGAAAATCTGTATATGGAGAATATTAAAGGGTTTAACAAAAAGGAGTTTTCTAAGTTTTAGAGCAAAACCTGGAAAGTTTTCTTGTCATACAATATGTTGTGTAGCTCAGCAAAAAACCAGATTAATCTAACAAACACACATCACTCATTACAGAGTAGAGATTGAATGGTTTGGTCTTTTTCAACTACTCACAGGGTAGAGCCAGATACAGATGAGAGAAGAAAAGAAGAAAAAAAATTGCTGCAAGAAGATACCATGTTTTAGAAGGGTTAGAGGCCAACCCTGATCCTCACCCCAAACTGGAAAAACCTCAGGGAACTTCCTAAGCTATGAGAGAGCCCAACTGCACAGATGATTAAAAGATGAAGGCCAATGGGTGAAAACAAATCCAATCAAATTCTCATTCATATTTTGAGAAAAAGAAGAGTCTAGAACTCACCTCTTTGTGACCCTGAATCTGGGAGTTGACAAAGGCCCCCAAAATGTGAGATGTGAGAGGCAGGTAGATGTGGATGAGCTGTGTCTCCTGGTGCAGGCAGTACAGGGAGAAGTAATTCCGCAGCTCCATGGTTATGATGGCGTTTTCTTGCTGAAAGAAGAGGAACTCAGTGACCAGAAAGAGGATGGGGAAAAGGAGAAACAGGAGAAAACAGCATTCCTCCCCATACCAGCGATTCAAACACATACCAAAACCCTAAAAAGGCAGTTCCTGAACCCATTTGATACAGCAGGAATTACCCTTTCCATCATGCAGACTGATGCTTCCCACAACTCCTGCGAATTATGTGCTACCAACACATTTTCCACGTGGCACAGTGGGGAGCACAGATTTCCCAAAGCACAGGCAACGCTCTCAATCCAAAAACTGTCTGCAAATGCGACTGAGTTCCAGAGCAGCACCATTAGAGCCCAGTCCCACCCTTTGCTCTGCCTGCCCTACCTCCACAATCCGAGACTCCAGCTGCTCCACCGATTCTGGCTCTTTGTTCTGCACAGTGGCACTCATCATCTGCTTCTTCATCATGCTGTACTTGTGCAAGGCTCGCTGGTGCTTGTGCAATACCCCCTTCTCGTGCCTTTCACACAGGTCCTTTGTGGGAAAAGAAAACAGCAGTGGGGCCAGGAGTCAGCAAACACACAGCCAAGTACACCAGCAGCCCACACGTGTGGTCACACTTTGTGTCATTTCTACGCTGCAGATTTTTGCTCCTTTGTTTTCAAGAGGGTCGAAAAATGCCAGTAGCTAAGAATTTAAGAAACAAAACTGCTTGAACCCAGACCAGTGAGCTTAAGAGGCAACCTGGAGCATCACTTCTGCCAACATTTTGGATCTTATCAGGCCTCTTTTCTGACCTTCTCAGTATTAAGAGCTGGCAATTAATTAAAGTGCTGGCTCAAGTCCTTCAAATTCAGTCCTGGCCTGGGAATGTCAGGAGCGGCTGCCACATACAGCTGAAAAAGTCCTTTCATTCATAACTGAACTCATGTCTCCATGAGCAAATCAGTAGCAATCTAGTTCACTGCTTTGACTCAAAAGCAGCCAAATATAAAACCAAAAAGTTAGCTGATCCATGCAGTTTAACCAGTCATATTTTTAAATTCCTCGCAGAGTTTGCTCTTTGGCAAGTCCTCATCATCAGATGAGCTATCAGGAAGAGCTCCTTGTGGCCAAGAGCCACTCCCCTGCCTCTGCCAGATGCCCAGTTTGCCTCTGAACTGGCCTCACAGACAGTTTTCCATCCAGTTGGCGTTACACCCTCTAAAGAGCACAAACTTGCTCTAAACAACTTTCTTGTTGGCAGAACAGCAGAGCTCACTTTATAGGACTGGAGTAAATCCAGGAAAAGGTTCAACTTCTCCACCACATCATTCTCTTCCTGTTTACCCTAGAAAACAAGGAAAAAGTACATTTTACGTCAGCCTGGCATCACAGCCCTTCACCCCCCCCACACCACGCAGGCTCTCACTGCTCTCTCCAGGGCACATCAGAGCTTACACAACTGCATCAAAAATCTCTCCAATGGCACTGGGGTGTTTAGTCTTCAGTGTGCAGAACAAAGACCTGACTGAGGCAGGAACAGCTTTTCCAACTGACTGATCATTAGAACAAGAGGAGTTGGTTTCACAGGCCTGCGTGTCAGTCCTTTCAGCACACTCTGCCTGGAATTCCCTGCTCTTGCAGATTCCTCCAATCTTTCATCTTCCCTTCCTACAAAATAGCTAATCCATTAAAACTCTGAATACCTGCATGTTCCCCATAACACTTCACGCATCAGAAGGCAGAGATGAGACACCAAGACAAATTTCACTGCCATTTTTTTTTATTTTATAGAATACTCTCTTCTTCCTCTATCAATAGAGCTCTCTGAAACATAAACTCCAGCAAAAGAGACCTGGCCTGACTCATCTACAAAAGCACACTGACTGTTTTAACACAATGAGATGAAGAGCACTGAAGACAAAACTATTACTTTTCCTTCCCAGAGTGTCGTGTCCTCACATCATTCTGACAGTCATTACCACACTGTGCACTTAGACTGGAATGTGATGCTTCTGTCTGAATGATTCTCATGTAACGTTTAAGTACATGAATTAAAGTACTGAAAATTTGATTCAGAAGTAAGTTATTCTGGGTTCTCTGTAGCAGATTAATAAAATGGAACATGGCACTTTTGGACAACTCACCCTAATAGTGAGCTTAATGTGTGCAGTAACCATTTAAAATTAAGAAAGGAAGCAGGTTTTTTCTTCCTTTCCCTTGCCTGTTACATTTTTTCCCCATTTAAACACAGTCCAGGTATTTCACACAAGCTTGAACAAGCAGGCTGTTAGTTGAGGATGTGAGTTTGGACTGCAATCTCCCTCTTAACTCTTGAAGAGCTTATGTCCACAGAGCTCATGATTCAAGATAAAATTCAGGGCAGTAATGTACTTCATTCATGTTACAAAAAGGAAAAAAAAAAAAGACAAAAGTAAAGGACTCACCTGCTGCACAGCCTTATCTGCCAGAAGTGCAAATTCAACAGACAGACCCTTCAAGGCTTGTTTGAGAGTCCCCCATGCGTTGTTATTCAAAGCAGCCCAGGAAGGAAGTGGAGTAGTGTCTGAGCCCAAAGCACTGAAAGGAGAAAAGCAATGGTCACATCTAGGAGACAAATTCCACTGAGCAGATAAAGTTATTTGCAGAGAGCAGTTTCAAATCTGCCTAAATAGCCCACAGTGCTGAGCTACTCCTGTCCTATCTCAAATGCAGAGTTAACTGTGTACATAGTGGGGAGAGAGACAGTAACACAAGTACCTGAATGTGAAGGTATTTCTGTTTTCATTCCTCACTCTATAAAATGCAGCTTTAGTGAAAAGTGTGTATTTCCTTCTTTTATAGAAGGAAAATTGATTATGTCCTACAGCATGCATTAAAACACCCATTTTTACCAGACCATTTGCAACAGTTTTGAGTTCTAAACCAACATCAGAAACCAGCAAACCCTGTTGCTGCAAACCTACCTGAGCTCCTTCCCAAATATGAGGAGGTCGGAGGCGTTGTCGATGGCTCGGGAAGCGATTCTCTCCGCACGGTCCCGGAGCTTATAGAAGCTGTTATAAATATTTCTGATCAGCTCCCTGCTGGCAGCAAACTGGGCCTGAATGTCAGCTGGGAGGAAGTCCTGAAGGAGTACAGAGGGATTACTGCTGGATAAATCAGAGGCACAGCACAGTCCGCAGAGAGGGACAGGCTTCCCTCCTGCGCTCACGCTCTCCCTCTGTGCTCTAACAATTCTGCAGAGATCAGTTTCCCATTTCGGTGTCCAAGACACATGTCACACAAACAGCCCTAATTTTCAGAGGTAGAAAGAGGTTCATATACCCAGCATAGACAGAATTGGCAAAATCTGCAATTCTTCTATGTAGTTAAAAGAACATTTGTGAGGTTTCAAGCTCACAAGTTCTCATCTGATCCTACTGGTAACTCCCAGCCCAGTAGAGTCAAGCACAAACTGAAAGTTCAGCTTTTTTTTGACCAGTTTATCACTGGTAAAAGCCTGAATTAAGCTCCAGTTGCAAAACCTTCTGCAAGCACTGCAGGAACCTGAACAACAACTTGCTTTGAAATTGCTCAATGAACACAGTGGATGTGTACTTAAAACTTGTCATAGCAGTAATCACTGGGATAAACAGATATATGGAGAATTTATAACTAGCTTTTCCATAACAGTCCAAATTGCTCTCCCACAGGGAGAGAACAAGACAGAATGAGGGCATGAGCACAAGGGAAAGACATCAATCTAGACATTACCTTTTAAATTGTGCAATTTGTGCATTTGATTGTTATGCAAGTACAAGTAATTACAGAGAAACGAGTTCTGAGCAGGATTCATTGTTTAATCTATATCATATTCATGAGCCAGAATTTAGCTAGAAATATCAGGCCCTTAAGAGTCAAAAGTTTATTTGATCTTTTCAATAAAATTACAAGTCCTTCAAACTCTAGAAACAAATATCTCCTACTTAAGGTGTCCATCACTGCACAAATGCCATAACTGAAGCACCAGGAGAAGAAAGCCATTTAAACCAGAATAACATGTTGCAAGAAATTCATATACATACCTTGGCTTGGGTAGCTAATCTGCAAGTCACAAATTCATCTCCTACTCCCTGGACCAATTCCCTTAGCTTATTCTGTACATCCTGGAGAAAATATAGAATCAAATGAGCATGAAGGAACTATGAAAAAACACAGGCAGTTCATGGAGGTCTCAGATATATTGCAGCAGCAAGGCACAACTCAGCAGACACAGCTTTACCCAGGTTAGATTTAATTTAAGGAAAAGCATAATCTCTGCCTAAGAATAGTTATAATTTTCAAAATCCTACACTCCTGGCATTGAGTGAAATTACCTTCCACTTTCCACTGTGGAAACACCTACTGAGAGAAAATTCTCTTCCTCCCAGGGAGCAAAGCCATGCAGGTTAACAGCAATCCTGAACGCTGTGGCAGTTACAGCAAGACTTGCAAGCTCAGGACTATTGCTAACAAACACTCACTGAGCCGCTGAAGGACAGGAAGAGTTTCAAGAGCACATCTTCTGAGAAGGGGGGGTGCCGAGCCACCAGGTTTATGAATCGCTTCAGCGCTCTCCTCCTCGACTCGATGAACTCACGATCAGCTGCAGGAAGAAACATGAAATTTCAGCTAATGTCCCTCACATGGCAGCTCAGAAAGAAAAAAGAAAGAACTGCAGTAAAATCCAAAGAATGGATGCCTATAGTCTGTCAGCTCCCACAACCGGACCTTTGGTTATAAAGACTTATAAAAGCAGACTGACCGCCTGAACAAATATTCTCAAAGTTGGTTGAGGCAAGCAGAACCCAAGACTTTCAATCTTTTAAACATTTCTTTTCAACACTATCACACTTGCAGCATGCAGCAAACCCCCTGCAGCCCAAAATGCAGATGCAGGTTTACCTCCCAGCACCCTCTTTGGGGGCAGTGCAGGCACCATGCGGTACGGGAACTTGTGCAGCAGCATCTCGTGGAACACCACAAAGTCGTTGTATCTTCTGTACACCGAGCACTTGAATCTCTGCAATTAACCAGGGGGATAAATCAATGCACAGCTCACACAGCAGCACCTCAACAATTTTTTTTTTTTTTTTTTGCACTGTAAATACAATTTCAGTTTGAAATACCCAGCTACCTACACCAGTTTGTTACAAAACCGTTCTGTTTCCATTGTCACACACCTGCTTTTGTACAGAGCTCAGGTTTTCAAGCAAGTGAACTTGCAGACCATCCTTCACAGCTCAGTTAGATGGTCCAATCTGCAGATGCCCAAGTCAAGAAGGCCCAGTGCTACCGCATTAAAAATCAGCCCACACAACTGGTCTGCTTAAAACCAGCATCACCCAGCACACCTAAATCTCCCAGGACTTTGCCAGCAGAAACTGCACAGACATTTTTAGGAGGATACATTCTCAGCAAGCCCAAAGCCTTTTCACATTACCTTGCTGGAAACCTCATACTCCACATGTTTCAGGAAAAGGCCCTTCTTCTCAGGTATAAGCTCCACCTGCACACTGTCCTTGCTCAAGAGCTCTTGTAGGGTGTGGGAAAGCAGCAGTGGATTTCCCTGGGGCGTCTGCATTAGAAACTGTTCCGCTTCCCTTGGTTCATTTACTGGAGGCTTTGCCAAATCTACAAGACAAAAAGGGAAAAAACAGTAGACCTGATAAGATATAGTAAAAGAAGTAGCCTTAAAATATTCTGTTCCTGTGCTTGGTGCTGCCAGAGTGGTGCAACGCCACCAGAAGCCCAGCCAGGCCACTCCCCTGGGAGGTTATGCTGCTTCTCACACGTTCACATCACTGGTACCTCCCTGCTCACAACAGCCAGGGGCACCACCAATTATATCGAGTCACAGAGACATCTCCACTAAGCAAAGGATCACAGGCCAAATTTGTCCTGTGAATCAGCTAAGAGGCCTGCATTTCCTGTCTGTCCAGCTCCCACCACAGCAGGATCTGCCAAAGTGAACGAAACCCTTGCTCAGCACTTCTGGATCCTGCCTAGAACAACTCATGGAAGGAAAGAAAAATGTGTCCTTCTACCACGCTGCAGAAATCTAATCCATTAATTTTGCACATCATTACAAAGGAAGGAGACACTTCATTTGACATAATTTTATTAACTCTATGACAGTGTGCTACAGAGAGTGTGAATTACAATAATTGACTATGTCAACATACTTAAGTTCCAAAGCAGAGGGAAAAGGTTCCTATTAAGGGCTCCCAACCCAACAATTCCTCAATCACAGCAAGGGGCAAAATCTTTCAAACTTACCTATTGTCTTCCATTGCTTGTAGCTAGAAAACAAACAGCTTTTGACAGCAAATTTGGCCATAACTGGGCAGCTTTGGACAGTAACTGACTCTCAGATGCAGAAGTGAAAGAAGATGGCTCTTAAGAATGTGGCCCCAGAGGACAAATGACATCAAAGAAGGGGCAAAGCTGATGACTCAGAGTGTTCTCTTATCAAGTGCCTGACTGCAGCCTGTTATCTCACCCTGACTTCATAACTGCATCTATTATGTGACTGTAAACTAAGCTTACATTGTTTTTCAAAGCCATCCTTTCTTTTCTACACATTCCACACATAGGAAATGGTGTGAAAAATGAGGGTACAACCCTGGGCTCTGTCACTCCATGCCTGAGTTCTGCTCTCCAGCCTGGAGCAGCTGGGTTGCTTCCTCTCTGTAAGAGGCACATTGTGAACAAGCTCTTTCATAAAGCAAGTCAAATCCATGATGAAAGGTTCCTAGAAAAGGTAGGATTCATTATCCCTTCCTTGCCATTGTGCAGAAGTTCTTAAATATATCTGCAATTTTGAGAACACAGTAACACCACAGAAGCAAGAAGCATTTCTTTCAGCTTCGATACATAGTTCAAAAAGTTGTTAACTGGGTAACAGATTAACTCAAGGAAGATAAGAGGTCATAGCCTTGACTTGAAAGCCCTGACCTCCTCCTGATAAAGATTTCCTACCTGCTCCTTCATGTGCCCTAGGCCCTGATAAACAGGGAAAACAAGCAATCTTTAATTCTTCAGATTTATCACTTCATAACAGACACTTTGCTATTTGTTCCATTAAATGACTTTATGAAACCAAACCAAATCCAGGACAAATGACCTTATCCCACATGCCTCATCAGGCTTCAGATTCCTGCTAATGTGACTCAGAGAAGCAAGTCTTAACACCTCTGCCTTAATAGACACATCAGCTGCTAACCCCACCTATGGAGCAGCTCCTAAAGATTTCCAGCTACCTGCCAGAAATCTGCAGTAAAATAATACAAACTAATTCAGTGTTGATGTGGGATATTGCTGGATGACGTGATAACACCTGTAGAGCACAAGACATCCTGGACTTCCAGAGCAGCAGCTCTCTGGGTGCCCACCCTGGTGATTTTTGGGTTTAAATGCTCAAGACACACCAGTGAAATGCAACCCAGGACAGCAGATGTTGTTACTCCTCCAATGCACACACACAAAGCTCCCTCCAGAGAATTCCAGAGCCTTCTGTGAGGCTCAGCCACTGGCTGATGTTGCAGAGGCCTCCCCCAAAGGGGGCTACTCAAAATGCACCCCAAATAATCCCCCAAGCAGCGCCAATCTGTGCTCACACAACATCTCCTCCTGCCTATTGAGTCTCTGCTTCCCATCCTTCTGCTGGACATCAACAGCACAAACCACCCCCTGAACTGGGCTCAGCATTGTCTGGTTAACTCCTGGAACCCCAAAGGCAAGAGACAGGAATGAGGAGAAAAGATGTATAGGGTGAACCATGAAACCATCACTGTTCCATCTTTAAGTCCCAGAAACAAAGTGATGCTGAGGACTCTGAAGTTTCTTACGGGTCTGAACCCATTACCCAGCAGACATCCACAGAGTGATGCCCCACCAGGCAAGAATCCACAGTCCTTTGTCAATTCAGCCATGTTGCCCTTTTCTTGGTAATTTCTCCCCAGTTTTTATCAAATTATTCTCTAAAAATCACCTACAGGACATGCCTTCTCTTTATCAGCAGTTCACACTCTTGGCTCTCCCTGAAATATTCTGCAGCTTCTTTACATCTCAACCTTGTCTAAATGTGTGAAATCACACAAACCAGACAACCATGCAAACAAGTTTGAATAATTACCGTTTAATTAATAACCTCAGCATGCCTGGTATCAACAAGACAGAGTGAATCTACACCCACAAACACAGCTCTGAGAACACAGTAAAATGACTCGGGAACAGCTGTTAACCTGCTTTAGGAAATGCTTATCATGGCATTAACACCAACCCTACAGAGCAATATGTACTGGAGCTATTCTTCAGCCCATTTTTCATTCTATTTGCTAAAGAGTCTATTTGGGAACAGCCTCAAGAGCCCTGGCCAGGAATGGTGGATAATAGTGGGAACTCATTGGTATGAGCTCCTGTGTTCAGGCACTAAAAGGATTTACATGCATTGTACCAGAACACTTAAAACTTCCCATCACGCAGCCTCTGCTGCAGAACAGCTAATTTTGAAAACATTCCCTTTGCTTTCAGCAGATCATTATCTGGTAAAGTTTATATAGAGACAGCAGCAAGTGGATACAGAAATGAGGTATGGAATGGTTCCCCTGGAACACTGGGAAGCAGACAAAATAAAAATCAGCTTTTTCCTACAAGCCAGGCTTTTGCTACAACAGATTCTCAATCTGTTGTCAATAAGGTATCAGGAAGTGGCCTGATACAATTGAAAACAAGTTGATATAAAAGTTAAAAATAATACGTACAAACATACATATGCAAACAAGACAACAAGATAACAAGAATTAAAAGTCTGAAGAAGCATTCAAAGCATGGCCTAGTTTTTGTTTGGTTGTAAAGGAAAACAGCTATGAAAACACTGCATAATACTTTTTTTTTTTTTTTGCAACAAATCAGATAGCCTTTGGACTGAAGGGAGTTGAGAAACTTATCCAGAGAAAAACTGCAATAGAAAATTTCTCTACTTCATGCTTTAGTTAGTGCTCAACATTCATTACTCCACTGATACAACTGGGCAGCAATCTGCCTTCCATGGAGTTAGCAGTTTCCTCCATCCAAATTTCCAAAATCATGCATTTATGAAAGCCAGAGCAAAACTCCAAGTATCTGCATAACTGCACAGAGTTTTCACATGTGAGTAAGCACATCCAGGGCTGGAAGCACAGGTGGTAAATCACAACATTGATCTCCCTTCCCTGTTTAAGCTCTGTCAATCAAATTTGGAGGCCTTATCTCCATTTTACAGATGGCTGATGCTACCAACTCCTTATTACACCAGGCAATAATCAGATAAATTTATCAGACATGCTTAAGTAGGTGGTGCCACAGAATTACTTATTATATTAGTAGCATTTTTACTAGAAGGAGAAAGGAGCCTGTAAGGAAGCAAAACCTTCAGGAAAAGCAGCTCAGATCTCTCCTCCATCATCACAGGCCACAGCTGTGCAGAGCAGAGGGATCCAACCCACAGGAAATATGAAAACTGACTGTTTTTGTGCACAGATACCTCAGATTCTTCCCTGGAAAAAGCGAGGGCTCCATTACCAACTCCTGGGCCAGGAACACTAAAACAGCAATGTAAATATCATTCATCAGCATTTCCCTTTCCTTTCTGTCTTCTCATGAGAAGCCCCAGGAATTATGGAAATGCCTCTCCCCCTTATCATGTCAAAAACATTCCTCCATAATTCCAGAATCCAGCATCCACATCAGCCTCCCTGAAAGCTGGTGCAGATTTCAACTACAAATTCAAACAGATTCCCATCCTAGTTCTCATTTTTTAAAATATTACATAATTTGAAATCCCCTAAAAAAAAACAAACAAACAACATAAGTACACCAAAAAAAAGCAAACAAAACTTTTTTCCTATTAAAGGCTTTACGTATTTTTTGAAATAACTGCACACTACTTGTTTGGGTTGTTTTGAACCATGCAATTCTTATTTCAAAAAGAAGAAAGCAAAAGAATCACCCTAACAAAGCTAAGTGCTGCACAGCTGTGTGTTCAACATGGAAAGCAGGTCTGTATTTCTTACTGGGTACAAGAAAAGTTATCATATTTAGCTTCACTCTAATTAAGAGTCTCCTTCTTTCTCCTTCCCAACAATTCCCATGTAAATACAAGCTACCCACAATGTCAAAACAAGATAAAATAGCACACACTCTCATAAAATTAGATGCTGGAAACAGGCTCCAACATTTTGTTTTTCTCCTTTAAAAAAACCAAAACACCACTACCACAGATGCCAAGTATGTTCTCTGCACTAGTCACTCTGGGTTTTCTGGGGTTTTTTCCTTTGGTTAGGTTTTCCTATTTCCCCTTTTTTAGTGTTGCAGGTAGTTTGGTTTTTGTTTGGGAAGGGGTTTTTGGTGGTTTTTTCCAAGTAAGTTTAAGATAGTTACTCAGCACTTGGTGCTGCTAAAGATGAAACAGAGAAGTTATGCCTCAACTCAAAAATAGATGAGACTATTTAAGCTTTATTTAGTAATACTTAAAAAGCACCTGAATTTCTGCAGTCCCCTGCAGCTGGAGGCCTCTTGCTGCTTCTCAAACTACAACAATCCCATACTCCAGCAGAAAAAAAAACCCCAACACCATCTTGTCACACAGATTTACTGTGGGTAAAGAACTAACCTTAAGGCTCTTGCCCTGCTCTTTTACTATGCTGTTAGATCATCAACTGATTCATCTGATTCCCCAGGTCTGGGGAACACATTCCATTCACAAGTCAGCCATGAGCCACAGCCCCCAGCTGCAGCAAGCACAATAAAGAGAGATGCAGCTACTTTGAAGAAATAACAGGATTAGCAGAGAAAAATCCAACCAGGAATGTGCCCTAAGATTACAGGGACAAAAAGTCAAATGCTCGCTAGGGCTGGTTCCCAGCAGCTCAGTGGATGACTGCTAGGCTATCATTTTTCAAAAGAGGTTGGAAGTGTAAAAATTCACACCCAAAAATGTAACCCAGCAAGCAATAACCCAAACAACTACTCTGGGAAACTTTCACAAGGACGTTTTAGCCTGACTACAAAACTGGCAAGTTTCCACATCCAACCATCCTTATAGAGGTCAAGAATATCCCATGAAAATTAATATATTTTCTTTGTTTTGTTTCTCATTTTCCTTACATGTTTCTCACCCTCCTGATTATGCTTGATGCTAATATTTAAGCATTAAAAATGGCATTGCCACTCCAGACCCTACAGGATCCCAATGGTCTTTTCACACATTTTATAGTTAAGCAAGCTCATTCTTATCCCAAATCCTGTTGAAAAGCAATTATTAAAGCTCTCCTCCTTTTGTATCAATTCCATATGCCTGCAACTGGTAAATTTTTCTCCCTCAACCTGCACCAACCCATAAAACTTGAAGACTGTGGGGGAAATCATGTGCAAATTATATTGTCTGTAACCTGTACAGCCTCCCACAGGCTGAACACCCAGTTAAAGGTTTACATCAGAAGAAAAGGAGACACCTCACTCCCTACACTGCCAACACCTGCATTACCTCCCTGCAATCATTGCAAAACAGACTCACATGGAAGCAAAAGGAAAAAAAAAAAGTCAATAAAAGCCACTCTGCAGAATTGACTTTACAAGCTGGACATTATCCTTTTTTTCTTTTCTCTTCGATTGTATTAAAGTACTTCTACTTTTAGTACTGCTAAATCCAAACCACAGCATTTGTATGTGCCCTCAAAGGGGAGCATCAGTGATACCTATCAGGACTCTCATTACTGTGTATATTTCACTGACAAGCTGCTGGTCTCCAAAAACAATTACATATGGGTGTGAAACTTCAAAGACCTCTGAACCTGCATCATGATGCTAAAAATAAAAAACATTGCTGCATTCACAGCATTATTTTTCTTTAGCCAAAATCATTATGTACCCTCTCTCAGTGTTCATCATGAACTCTGCGCCAAAGAAAACCAGGTTTTCTAAAGAAGGCTGAGTAGGTAAGAAAGGTACAGAAGCACCACCACCAGAAGTTAATCAGTTCAAGAATACTCTACTTGGAGACAACTGTTTTATCTCTATAAGGCTCCTGAAGCAGATGGTAAATCCATAACAGACATACCTGAGCAAGCTCTCTCTTTGGTACAGTAGGACATTTTTTCCACAAAGGCTGCTGTTCAATATGTTACATCAGTCCTGGACAGAAATATTCCAAAATAATTTATTTATAAGCATTATGTGCATCGGGAGCATCACAGGCCTAACAAGAGCCAACTCACAGAGGGTTCTAAATACAATCAACCAAACCTTTTTTCTACGCATTAAGCTTACCTACTTGTTTTCTTTCCAAACCGAGCAAAAAAAATAGTATGGACAGAGCAGGTACAAAAGTTCAACGACTTCAAAGAGAACTTCTAAAAGTTTCCTTCAGTTGAACTGCTAAAGGAGTCTAACACGTTATTCCCTCAATTCACCCAGGAGCTCCCTCCATCTCTCATTTCGCAACAAGCGCTGGCAGTATTTGGCTATGAGTTTCTTCATCCCAGCCCCAGCTGCACGCTGCTGGAACCCCAGCGCTGGGAGCCGGCGCTTTCTCCGCGGGCTGTGCCGGCTCGGAGCGGGGCTCCGGGACCGCCGAGCCGCTGTCCCGCTGCGGGAGGGTCCGAGGTGCCCGGAGCCCCCGGGCGGGCACGGAATAAACTCGGTGCGGCACGGAGGGAGCGCTCGGCCGCGTCACTGCCCACGGCAGAACTTCGGGACCGCGCCCGCGTCCAGCCCCGCACAAGGGAGCGGAGCGCCTGCGGCAGAACCGGGGCGGCACCGGGCAGGTAACCCCGGCGGCCCGGGCGCTGCCTGCTCCTTCCCCGCTCCTCGGCACGGGGAGGGACCCCCACGGCCCCGGCGCTGCCGCTCCTTCCCCGCTCCTCGGCACGGGGAGGGACCCCCACGGCCCCGGAGGGCAGCGCTGATCCCGGCCGTGAGCAGCCACCGGGCGGGCCGGGGCCAGCGGGGTCCGGCTGCCCCAGGGGGCGAGGGGAAGGCGGCGGCGCTTCCCCACAGCTTTTCTGCTTCCCCGCAGCTTATTTGCGTCCCCGCAGCCCCGACCCCGGCGCGGAGCCGCGTCCGCTCCCGGGCGGGCAGCGCAGGGCGGGCGCGGCACCCGCATCCCCCCGTACCTGCGGCCGTGCCCGCGGGCGGCTCTCCGTCCATCGCGGCCGCGGTCATGTGAGGCCGGGGCGGCCGCCCTCCCCTTCCTCCGCAGCGCCCGCCTGTCAGCGCGGGCGGGGCGGGCGGGCAGAGCCGCCTCCCGCGGGGCCGGGGGCGAGGGGCGCGGGGGGCGCGGTGCGGCGGCTCCGCCCGGCCCGGCTGCGGCTCCAGAACTGCGGGGCTGTGTCAAATTGCAGCGGGGCTGTGTCAAATTGCAGCGGGGCTGCGGCCCCGGGGCTCCGGACACGCTCCGGCGGGGCAGCGAACCGGCCCCGCCGCTGCCGGGAGCGCTGCGAGCGCCGCTGAAGCGCTTCGGGATTAGTAACGCATCTCACAAGGATCTTACGGCGTGTAAGAGTGATCGGCTCATGGGTTTAATGCGGGATTATTCCGAAGTATAACTGGTTTAGTTTTTGAAATCTGAAAAGGAGTGTTGTGAAGTTCTAGGAAAAGTAGGTAACTGGCGAGGCTGCGCTTTGGGATTCCTGTCACACAATCTCAGAATCAATTGGGTTGGAAAAGAGTTTGAAATAATTGATTTATGACCGAACAGCACCTTGTCACCCGGCCCATGGCACTGAGTGCCACGTCCGCTCTATCCTGAAAGAGCTCCAGGGTCTGTGACTCCTCCACCTCCCTGGACAGCTCATTCCAATGTCCGATCACCCTTCCTGTGAAAGAAATTCCTCCTGATGTCCAACCCAATTGTTGGGTCTCACAGCTTGAGACTGTGCCCTCTCATCAGATTAACTACTCCAAGTTAATTCTGGTATATTTTCTTTACCTGAGTTCCTTTCCCCATGGCATTTCTGCTGCCATCTAGGACATTAATCAAGTTTCCTATGCTCAGTATTTTTTTATATTTTGCATGCACCTGGATTTTTGGTTAATTTGGTAGAAATGAACACTGAACTATTCAGAAAAGCACAAAAATATGAATATTTGAAATGCAAATACACCTTCCAAAATTGCATAAAAACAAGAACTCCATGTATGAGCACCTCTCATTTTATTAGTGATTTTTTTTTTTCCCCACTTCCTGTACTTTATTAGTCAGGAATGATATGGTTGACAGTGGTGAAAAAAAAAGGTGCATGTTTTGTACAGTGATTTTCCTAAAAACACCATCAGACACAAAAAAAAAACCTTATAGATTTTTGGACCTCCAGATTGAGACGTTACAATCCATAAAAATGCTTTACATTTTCAACGTCCAAAGGATTGGATGCATTCCATAATTAATATTCCTGATATTTCTGTATCATGGGAAGCTAAATATTCACCTCCACTGTATGCAGAGAGAACTAAAGCAGAAAATGACGAAGTGAGAATTATTTCAGGGGTAACTGTGACCACCATAAAAAGTTTTTGTGCAGCTACCAAGATGTAAATGAGTCGAGTGATTCTCCTTTTCCTCCTCCCTCGGTGCTATTTCAGCCCAGTCCCCACGAGCGTGGGTGCAGACGAAAGCTGTGGATAAAATTAAAAAAGCATGGCATTATTTAAGCTGAGAGGCCCTTCAAATCATGTTTGTACAGCAGCCCAGCAGAGTTCTGCCTGCTCAGCACTTCTGAACACCGCAGGATTTTTCGCCCATACAGCATTTTTGGAGAAAATGAATGGAGGAATCAACATGTTCTCATTCAGCTATAGATTTTTGATTGGTCTGTACTTAAGCTAATAGCATAACTATTTATTTGGTATAAATAAGATACTCTGAAACTGAAGATTGCTTCGGAGTCTTGAAGAAAAATACCGTGGAAAATAATTCAATTGCGGAAATAATTTTTCAACGGGGCAGTTGAAAAATTGAAAGATTTTCAACTGCTTGATGTAAGTTATTGAACACTTCTGTATTTGCTGTTACTGCAGCAATAGCTTCTGGAAAACCTTGAGCATAAAGAAGAAATAAACACCGAAGAAAAAAAAGGACACATGTCAGAGAATCACAGAATGGTTTGGGTTGGAAGGGACCTTAAAGATCAGCTTGTTACAACCCCATTCTGTGGGCAGGGACACCTTCCACTATCCCAGGTTGCTCCATGCTTCAGCCAACCTGGCCTTCGACACCTCCAGGGATGGGGCAGCCACAGCTGCTCTGGGAAATCCATGCCAGGGCCTCCCCACCCTCACAGGGTAGAGTTTTTCCTCATATCTAATCAAAACCTACTCTATTTCAATTTAAAGCCATTCTCCCTTGTAAAAATCTCTCTCCATGTTTCTAGCAGGCCACAGTCAGGTCACCCTGAAACCTTCTCTTCTCCAGGCTGAACAATTCCAATTTGCTCAGCCTTTCCTTCCTTTCCATCCCTCTGATCGCCTCAGTGGCCTCCAAGAGTTCCCTGTCCTTGCTGTGCTGACCGCAGAGCTGGATGCAGGTTCCAGGTGACAAAAGCAATGCAGAAATAAATCCCTACCCCAGGCCCTGCCTCACAGAGTGTCATTCTGGGCACGTCCTGTCAGGATTAGATGAAATTTCATACAAGAATTTGCTTACTCCTTCAGAATTCAGTTTAGGAAACAGAGCTGTCAGCTCCACTATTCTCAGATCACCTGCACGCAATAAAATTCATGAGGCACTGCTGGTTGGAGAGCTGGGTTATAAAAAGCCTTTCCTGCAAGATTTTTTTCCCCTCAAATTTCCCATTGATTGGGAGTTTTGCATGTGGAGTACTTAAAGGAACAGGCTTCAGCTGGCAGTGCCAAAATCTGTGTTTTTAAAAGCTGTTCCGCTCTCCCTCAGATTGCTGAGTAAGGGCTGGAAGGAAAAAGAATAGCGGTGAGATAGGGCAGGGACTGAGGGGAAATTTCAACAGAGAAAGGAAAAGGAGAAGGAAGGAAGAGCAGATAAATCAAAAGCTGCTGAAAAGCAGAGGAAAGTGCAAAGAGTCAGGGAAAGGAGAATCCAATGTTCAAATCCGCTGCTTAACCAAAGGAGTGGAAAAGTGCAAACAGGAAAAAGGGCAACTGCAGAAATTGCACACTCCAGCAATACAGACAACGGTGGGAGTGGTGAAATAAAAGCAGCCCAGACCTCATGCACACCCCTGGAAAAGCCATGGAATACTGAGGAGCCAGCAAGGACCATGGATGCACCATGTCCTGCTTCCTCACATTTGGAAAAGCACATGGCTGCCATGGCAGGAAACAGCACCTTGTGTTCACCTCAGAGTCCGCGCTGGGGCTGAGCGGGGAGTCAGGGGCTGGTCAGCCACCACGAGGTATCGAGGGGAAAAAATTGCTGCCCCAAGGGCCAGTCATGGTTTCCACTGATGGGAGCTGCCTTCCCTGGGAAGGGACACGGGGACACACTCAGCTCGGGAGTGGAGTTCGGATGCCATCGTGTGACTCCCTGCGACATTACACAGCTGGCCTGGCTCAAACACCGCCCGAAGAGCTGCTCAAAACATCCAAGATGCTGCAATAGACGACAAAGTCTAATTTTTTTCTGTACACTACCTGCTCTGCCCTTTTGGGTTTTTTTTTAATGCTGGCATTGTCTGTTTTGATAATTGATTGAAAGCATTGGGATAAAAAAAGAAATCCTACTCAAAAGGCAAGTGTTCGTCTCTAAGTTTGAACAGATGAGACATTTCTTGAGAACTTTTTCCTCTAAAATTGTCACCTCAAGATGCTATCCGAGGCAAATTCCAAGTTCTCTGAGCCACTCTGAATATACTTTATAAATATATATATATATATAAACACACATGGTGACAGAAGTCACACTGCATGTATCCACTTTGAATATACAATATATACCATACATATATATATAAATATATATATATATATATAAAAACACACATGGTGGCAGAAGTAGAAAACACTTCATGCATTTTTTGGATTCTTCATCAGCCTGAGGTGCCCGGGACAGAATGCGAAGCTTTAATCGATAATGTGGGGTCACATCTCTCAGGTCAGTCATGTTTGTAGCCAACGTGAAGAGAGGAGAGCTTTATCAGTTCAGAAACCATTTAAAAATCACGCTAAAATGCCAGGAATGACCCCTCAGATCGCTGCCCTGTGTGTCCGGCTGCACCGGGAGGGAGCTTTAAGGCTTCTCGCGGGGCACGCAGAGATGCCACAGCACGGCTACTGTCATCTTGTACCTCAGTAAAAATGTTATTTAAAACCCACAAAGGTCACGGTGGGATAGAACAGCTCTCAGCAGCCGCCCGGCCGCGGCTGCCCTCAGATCCCCCGCCGCTCCCGGCTCCGCCATCCCGCCCGGCTGATGTGGCGCTACCGCCGGGCCCTACCACACGGCCCCGCCGCCGCAGGGGGGGGCGCTGACCCGCCGCCCTCGCCGCGCCCCGGCACAACCGCGTCGATGTCGGCGAAGCACCGCGCGCTTCCCCCTCTACATCAGCTTGGTAGCGTCCACGAGCGCGCCGACTGACATCGGGCGAAGCCATAGTGAAAGATTGTAGGGGGACAGTAGGCGAGTTTCGTGCCGATGCACTGTCCTTTCACCGTGGCGTTGTCCTGTCACCGGCTGCCCAGCTCCGGGCAACGACGTGTGCTGAGGGAGGAGGTTCCACAAGGCATCAAACCAGTTAAATGTAGCGGCGCCCCCCAAAAAATGGTTCGGCCGGACCCCACCTCAGTAGAATGGAAGGCGGCGCCATCTTGGGCGCAACCATAGCAGTCACGAAATAGGGGTGGCAGACGTGTAGTGGGGTGAGAAGGTAACGAAGCCGCCGCTGGCGGAGCGAACCGGGGCTGGCAAAGGCGCCGGAATCGCCGGTGCGCGGCGGGGAGAGAAGGCGGCGGCGGGCGGGAGCGGCGGCGGGGACAGCGATCCCCCTCTCGCCCTGCGCGCGGTGGTAGGCGCCGGCGCGCGCGGGCCGCTGGGCCTGGCGCACATGGCCCGGCCGTAGGAGCCGCCCCGCCCCTCCCCCGCCTTTCCCCGCCGCGCTCCGGACGGGACCGACACCGGCACCGAGAGCGAGAGCTCGCAGCGAGCGCGCGGTACCGGGCACCGCACACCGCACACCCACCGACACCCGCG